AGACCACGAAGAAGATCATAACCATCCTCCATGTCTCCGCTCTGAGACTATCGATACCGATGCTCGAGGCTATATAGACCCATCTAGTAGACGAGCTGCTGCTTTCTCTCCCAGACGTCCATGGTCGAGAAGTCGATCTCTTTCTACTCCCTCCACCGCCGATGTCGTGGAACGAGTGTCAGCTGCGATACCTTTATGGGGCATATCCACCATCTATGCCTTGGTTAACGCCTGCTGATTATTCCGATTGGGACTGTTACTCCATCTGATCCGTCCATCGGTCGAGGTCACCTCATAGAGCAAAACTGTCTGCTTCTCTGTCACGTCCACCTACTGTCGATCCGCCCCACCATTCTTTGGAGCCAAATCGTCCGCTCAACCCTCCTGTCATTCCAAACCCTGTGACTCCCGTCGTCTCACCTAAGCAACTAGCTTGCCCGCAGGACACATCTGCCCAAATGGAACATCAAGACTCGTCGGAAGATGTCGACACTGATTCTGATACTGAGGCTTCAGAGGTTCACATCTCTCCCGACCATAAGTCCCCTACACAGGACGTTACTGAGGACATACCTATATCACCTTCAGATAACCTAACGTCTTATACGGATCTCGTAAAGAGAATGGCCGACTCCTTGGGGCTCTCGGTAGTCCAGCAACAACATCAAACATCAGACACTGTTGACATTGTTCAACTTGATGTCTCTTCCACATTGGCATTGCCTATGTCTTCTGTTCTGCTCCAGGCAGCTAAGTCGCCATGGATGAAACCGTCTTCTGCGCCAGTCTCCGCGAAGAGGTTGGACCATATGTATAGGGTTCAGGATACGGAAGCAGAATTCCTCTTTTCCCATCCTCAGCCTAATTCTATGGTTGTTACATCATCCTCCAAGTCCAAAAGGTCACATGCCGCCCCTTCAGATAAGGAAGGAAAAAAATTGGATGCCTTTGGCAGGAGAGTTTATTTCACGGGAGTGCTGGCAGTCAAAGCCTCCAACTACCTGGCCTGTTTGAGCTGCTACCAATATACTCTTTTGGAATGGTTCTCAGATCTACTCAGTCACCTACCAGATGACAAACTACAAGCGGCCAGAGTCATACAGACAGAGGGCATGGTATTGGTTAACCAGCAATTCAATACCACCAAACACGTCCTTGAAGCATCTTTGAGACAAATGGCCTCTGCAATAGCTCTCAGGAGACATTCCTGGCTCAGAAGCACTAACTTACCAGTGGATACTAGAGCCTACGTAGAAGACCTACCCTTTGATGGCCTAGGGTTGTTTAATACCACAACCGATTCCGCTCTGCAAGAGCTAGACAAAAGTATAAAGGCTTCCCGGGCTTTAGGAGTCTCATCCTCTGGGAGACAACAGCATCGTCCCCGCACCTGGTCAAGATCATGGCAGAGGCGCATGCCTACCCATCAATCTTCAGATGCACGTTGGAGGCCGAGATCATCTTCTGGAGGCCAGAAATCCGCCTTCCAAAGACCCAAATTTGGTTCAGGCCAGCAGGCCTCACGCCCAAAACAGTCTAAACCTTCCAAGCAAAGTTTTTGAGTTCCCTGGCACCGAGTCAGCAATTACACCTGTCACCCTTTCTACAAGCCTGGCATCACATCACCTCGGATGATTGGGTACTTACTATCTTGTCCTGAGGTTACAAAATCGAATTCATCCAGAACCCCAATACATCAGTCGTCGTATCCACGCCCCCTTCCCCACCTCTTCTCGAGGAGGTCTCCGTCCTTCTGCAGATGGGAGCCATAGAGCTTATACCATTGCACCTCCATGGGACGGGATTCTATTCCCGATACTTCACGGTCCCGAAGAGAGACGGGGGCGTTCGACCCATATTAGATCTCAGGGAGTTGAACCGTTATGTGGCGTGTCACTGCTTCCTCATGGTGTCACTTCAACAAAACCTGCCACTCTTTTGCAGACACGTCTGGATGGCCACCCTTGACCTCCAAGACACATATTTCCATATCACTATCCATCCCTCCCACCGCCAATACCTACGCTTCATTTTCAGTATATGGCCCTTCCATTTGGCCTCTCCAGCGCACCGAGGGTCTTTACAAAAACCATGATTGTGGTTGCAGCTTTCCTCCGTCTCCGGGGAATCTCAATCTACCCCTACATAGACGATTGGCTTCTGGTGGCATCTTCCAAAGTCGCCCTAGTCTCAAATGTCGCAGAGACCCTGATGCTACTGCAAAGCCTGGGCCTTTGGGTCAACGAACAGAAATCTCATTTGTTTCCAGCCCAGCGCATACAATACATCGGTGCGATACTAGATTCACGGGCATGCATGGCTTACTTGCCCAGCGACAGGGCAGCAGATATCATCTCCCTCGCCACCGTCGTTCGCTCCCAACCTTCCGTTACCGCCTTCCAGGTCCAGGGACTGCTCGGCCTAATGGCAGCTACTATGTCGGTTCTCGTCTTTGCCAGGTTAAAATGTGCCCCTTACAACTTTGGTTTCTCTACAACTTCAACATGTCGAAAAACGCACACACTGTTGTCCTATCCCCTCTACCCAGTGTACATGACTCTTTACTCTGGTGGACTGTCCCTTCAAATATTTTGCAGGGAGCACCCTTTCACCCTCCTTCACCGGAGGTCACCTTGACTCCCAATGGGATGGGGTGCCCACTCCATGGGGCTGTCTGTTGGGGACAAATGGGACACGCATACGAGGAGAAAGCACATAAATTTCCTCGAATTCCTGGCCATAAAACATGCTGTCACCTCCTTCCTCCCTCTACTCAAGAGAAAATGTGTCACAGTCCTGACGGACAACACCACAGCACTGTCGTATATAAACAGGCAGGGAGGCACGGTTTCCCAACGACTATGCAACCTTGCCATCCAGTTGTGGGAGTTGTGCATCGGCAACACATATTCCTAGTGGCCACTCACATCCCGGGCCACATGAATGTACAGGCAGACCATCTAAGTCGAGCCGGACTCAGCCTGCACGAGTGGGGGATGAACTTAGAATACCTCCTCCCACTTTTCCACAAGTTGGGGTCTCCCCAAGTCGATGTATTTGCAGACAGAAACAACAAAAAATGTCACCTATTCTGCAGTCGAGGCGGCAAGGACCCTCACTCGCTGGGGGACGGTCTCCTCTACCCTTGGTCGTCAGGACGCCTTTACCTGTTCCCCCCCCTTACCTCTAATTCTGAGAGTGGTCTGCAAGATACTCAAGGACAATGCGGACTGCATCCTAGTAACACCCTGGTGGCCAAGACAACCTTGGTTTTTGATGGTCCTAGAGCTGACTCAAGGGATATACCATCAGTTCCCCCCAGCTCCAGACCTCCTTCTCCTCTCAGACTCCCCCATCCTACACCACAATGTCCCACAGTTGAAGCTGACGGCATGGCGGATACCACCACAGGCTTCTCCTCCCGTGTAGTTAATGTCCTCCTGAATTCCAGGAAGCCAACCACACGGAAGTCCTATGACTATAAGTGGAAGAGATTCTGTTCCTTTTTGGGCAATGACGCCACTCGAGCCACCTCTGCTGGCCTCAACGCAGTCTTTCGTTTCCTACTTTCCTTAGCTGACTCGGGACTTTCCCATTCGTCGTTAAAGGTTTACCTGGCCGCATTATCGGCTTGCCATGTTCCAGTTGAAGGATGTACTTTGTTCTCACATCCAATTTCGAAACGGTTTTTAAAAGGTTTACTACACCTGTATCCTCCTGTCAAAACTTCAGTTGCTCCCTGGGATCTTCCTCTGGTTCTACGCTAGCTCCACGAGGAAGTCTTTCAAGCCACTTGCAACATGCGAACTCAAACTCCTGGCGTGGAAAATGGCCTTTTTAATTGCCATCACCTCTGCTAGGTGAGTGGGACAGATACTGGCCTTCTGGCACGACACACCATATCTGTCATTTCTGCCAGACGGAGTCTGCCTCGTCCCGGACATCTCCTTCCTGCCGAAGGTGGTGTCAGAGTTCCACCTGCAGGCCGAGGTCTTCCTCCCAGACTTTTTTCCAAACCCTACGTCAGCGGAGGACAGACTGCTACACACTCTGGATGTCAAGCGATCTCTCTTGTTCTATCTGCAGAGAACGCATCCAACTAGACGAGATCCTCAGCTCTTCGTCTCATACGCTTCGGCACGGCTGGGCAGTCGCATCACGGCACAACACCTATCAAAGTGGATTGTAGGTCTAATCCAACTCTGCTACCTACTAGCCAAACAGCCATTGCCTGGCCCTATCAGAGCTCACTCCACCAGGGCTGTTGTGACTTCCATTGCCTTCCTCCAAGGAGTGCCACTGCTGGACATTTGTAAAGCTGCTATATGGGCCACGCCAAACACCTTTATCAGGCACTACTCCCTAGACGTCAGTACGAACACTGGTACCATCATGGGATGTCACATCCTGTCTTCGGCTACGCAGTAAAAGACCTGCCAGCACCCACCTCCAGGTAAGCTACTGCTTGCTAATCTCCCATGGGTGTGAAGCACAGAGACCACGTCGAAGATAAACAGGTTGCTTACCTGTAACTGATGATCTTCGTGGTCATCTGTGCATTCACACCACCCGCCCTCCTTCCCCGCTGCTGTCAGCTGCTATGTTTTTGGATAGAGGTTGATTTGCAGCGGTATTTTGAAGGAACTGGCGGGATGTCCACGCCCAACCCTCTGGGCATCCGCAGTGGGGTTCCTGCGCTTGCCTGAGGGAATGGGCGCGAAAATCCGTTGAAAGAGCTTGCTACAGCACCGATCGATCCAGCGCGTGCACACTAGATCCCATGGGTGTGAATGCACAGATGACCACTCGAAGATCATCAGTTACAGGTAAGCAACCTGTTTTTCTTATGCGGCTAGCTTGTTTTTATGACTTGTTTTTAATATTCATAATTTTTATATCTTTTTTTGATTTCACTATATTTTTATTGAGAACTGACAAGTTACGTACTTACCTTTGTTTCTATGTAACCACATGATTCTTTCCTTTCTGCTTTATTTCAGGATGGTGGAGAGCCATGCTTTGAAAAAAATAAGTATGCATACCTCTACTTTGTGGCCTTTATCATATTTGGATCTTTCTTCATGCTGAACCTCTTCATTGGAGTTGTTATTGACAATTTTAACCAGCAAAGGAAAAAGATAAGTAGCATATATAAGAACATAAGAGAAGCCAATGTTGGATCTGGCCAATGGCCCATCCAGTCCAACTCTCTGTCACACAGTGGCCAAAAATACCAGGGGCCATCAGGAGGTCCATCAGTGGGGCCAGGACAGTAGAAGCCCTCTCACTGTTGCCCCCCCCCCAAGCACCAAGAATACAGAGCATCACTTGCCCCAGCCTGAGAGTTACTCTCTATACCTTGTGGCTAATAGCCACTGATGGACCTCTGCTCCATATGTTTATCCAATTCCCTCTTGAAGCCGTCCACGCTTGTAGCTGCCACCACCTCCTGTGGCAGTGAATTCCATGTGTTCATCACTCTTTGGGTGAAGAAGGACTTCCTTTTATCCGATCTAACCTGACTGCTCAGCAATTCCATTGAGTGCCCACGAGTTCTGGTATTGTGAGAAAGTCAGTGAGTGCCCACGAGTTCTTGTATTATTGAATCATAATAATCCATAAAGTGATCTTCAGGAGAGATCCAAGATGTTGGTAGCAGTTGTTTGCTGGAGCAGTGTTCGTTAGCTTGCTGAGTTAGTTGGCTTCTTGGCAGTGATAAACTGAGAAGACTGAACTTCCATGCCTGTGGTCAAACTCTTTCAGGGGCAGATGGTGGAAGTAGGGCCCCGGATCACCACAGAAGTCTGTCATCTGTGTGGAATGGGGGGGGGGGGACGGACGGACGGACAAAAGACAGTCCTCTTGTAAGAATGAATTGTTTCCTTTAGTCCATGGGAGTTTATGGTGTGAAGGATGAATTATATTATTTGATCTTGAAGAAGCTTTGTGGCCTACTGCAGTATGCAAGAGGCTGGAAAGTTTGTTGTTTTTTTCTTTCCTGTAGGGGGTTGAATTATGTATTGTAGATAGCTTGCCTTTTCTTTTTTAAAACCCTGTCAAGACCAATGTTGTGTGAAGGGTTGGTCCTTCCTACAGGAGTCCAGTTCAGAGAGGTCTTTCTTGATTCCTTACAGCCAAACAAGATGTGATGGTGTCCCCGTATCTGACATTTGGATGATAAAATGGCTAGTTTAAAAATGCCAGGAGGGATTAATCCTATCATTCAGAGGGCCCCCCCATGCCTTTTCAAAAGTCAAAACAGCTGGAGGGGGGTGCATTTCATCCCTTGAAAAGTCATGGGAGGGAGACAAGAACGCTTCACTCCTCCGTGCTGTGGGCCTGATCAATATCAGTTTGGTGTAGTGGTTAAGCGTGCAGACTCAAATATGCAAGGACAGGGTTTGATTCCCCACTCCTCCACTTGCACCTGGCTGGATGACTTTGGGCAAGCCGTAGTTATTTTTTTTTTTGGTCAAGACACTTTTTATTTTCTTAATATATTTCATATATTCAAAACAGCTTTCTTATAATCAGTTTCCCTTCCCCCTCCCTCCTCTCCAGTGGCTTCCCGCAATGCGTTTCCCCTGTGATCCAAAAGTCTTATACATTCCAAGATAACAATCTTATGCTTAATATTGATCTAAACAAAGTAAATTTAGTTTTACATCCCAGTTTTTTTCTAAATAAATCTTGAAGTCATCCCATTCTTCAAAAAATTCTTGGTCTTCTTTGTTGTTTAATTTTCTTGTTATTTTATCAATTTCTGCCATGAACAGAACTTTTTGTATCCAATCTTCTATTTCTGGTATTTTCTCTTGTTTCCAACATTGTGCATAAACCATTCTCGCAGTTGTTATTAAATACCAGAATAGAGTCTTTTTCTTCACATTTAGTTCTTCCATTTTAAGTCCTAAAAGCAGAATTTCCGGTGCTTTTTTAAAGGAAAGTTTTAGTATTTTTCGCATTTCTCCGTGGACTTTAGTCCAAAAGTCAATAGCTTTATCACAAGTCCACCACATATGGTAAAATGAGCCCTCATGCTTCTTACATTTCCAACATTTACTAGACATATTCTGGTTCATATTTGCTATTTTCTTAGGCCGTCATGTACCATCTATACATCATTTTATAACAGTTCTCTCTTACATTGGTACACGTCGATATCTTAATAGAATTTTTCCACAAATATTCCCACGAATCTATTGTCACTTCCTTATTCATGTCAATTCCCCATTTTATCATTTGTTCTTTTACAGTTTCATCTTCCGTATACCATTTCAACAAAATTTTATACATCTTAGAAAACATTTTTCCCCCTCCAACCTCCCAAACAGTTTCCAATTCATTTTTTTCCTCCCCAAAACCAAAATTTTTCTTGTCTGCTTTGAAAATGTCATTAATCTGCAAATATTTCAGCCAAACATACCTATATTGCAGTTCATTCTGCTTTTTCATTACCCATTCTGTTCCCTCCTTTTTAATTAAGTCTCTGTACGGCAACCAATCTTTGCCTTGCTGTCTTGAGTACGGCGTCAGTACTTCTGCTGGTACAATCCAAAGTGGTCTTTCCTCACAAAATAATCTTTTATATCTCGTCCAAATCGCAAATAATGCCTTTCTCACCAAGTGGTGTACAAAGAAACTGTCCATCTTAGATTTTCCATACCATAAATAAGCATGCCAACCAAACCTACAATCATGACCCTCTAAAGTTAGCAGTTTTTTGTTCTCCAGACTCACCCATTGTTCCAGCCATGTTAAACAAACTGCTTCGTAGTATAGTCTTAGGTTTGGTAGCTGCATACCTCCTCTTTCTTTGGCATCGCATAAAATTTTCATTTTAATCCTCGGCTTTCTGCCTGCCCAAACAAATTTTGAAAGTTCTTGCTGCCATTTGTTCAGCATGTCTGTCTTGTTCAATATTGGAATAGTTTGGAATAAAAACATCAGTCGTGGTAGGACATTCATTTTCACTACAGAGATTCTGCCCATCAGGGATAAGTTCAATTTATCCCATTTCTTAAAATCTTGAGTTAACTTATTCCACAGTTTCTCATAATTATTTTTATAAAGATCAACATTTTTCACAGTTAACTCAATTCCCAAATATTTTGTCTTTTTTACAACCTCACATTGTACCAGTTCTTGCAATTCTAGTTGTTTCTTTTTGGTCATATTCTTGCATAATAGTTTAGTTTTATTTTTATTCACGTAAAACCCTGCCTTTTCGCCAAAGTCATTTATTTTTTGAAATAACATCGGAAGTTCTTCAATCGGATTTTCCACTATAAACATCACGTCATCTGCGAATGCTCTATATTTATATTTATAACCTTTGTGATTCAATCCTTTAATTTCTCCATCTTCCTGAATTTTTTGCAGTAATACTTCCAAAACCCAGATGAATAACAATGGTGAAAGTGGACAACCTTGTCTGGTCCCTTTTTGTACTTGAAAGTGATCTGTTAGCTCTTTATTTACATTCAATTTTGCTTTTTGTTCTGAATAGATCGCTTCAATAATGTTGCTAAAATGTTGCCCAACTTCAATTTTGTTCATCATTTGAAACATAAAGTCCCAATTTAAGTTATCGAATGCTTTTTCCGCATCCACAAACAAAAAAGCCACTTCTTTCTCTGGGTGTTTTTCATAATATTCTATTGCGTCCATAACCATTCTTAAGTTGTCCCTTATTTGTCTTTTGGGTAAAAAGCCCGCTTGATCCTCAGATATTACCACTTTCAAATGGTTTTTCACCCTTTCTGCTATAACTTTGGCAAAAATCTTGTAGTCATTATTCAAAAGCGAAATCGGTCTATAATTCTTAACATTAGTTAGGTCTTGTCCTTCTTTTGGTATCAACGATATGATTGCTTCTTTCCACATCTCAGGGATTCTCTTGGTATCTCGTATCGCATTGGATAAAGTTTCCAGGGCCGGAACTAATTCTTCTTTTAGTATTTTATAAAACTTAGCAGTAAATCCATCCGGACCTGGTGCTTTACCCAGCTTTGTTTCCTCTATTGCTTTAATCAATTCTTCTTTTTGAATCCGACCATTCAATACATCCTTGACTTCGCTTTGTATCTTTGGCAGCGGTATAGTGTCCAAATATTTCTTAATCTTTTCCAAATCAATTTTTGTCCTTTGGAAGAGTTTCGCATAATATTTGAAGAAACTTCTTTTTATTCCATTAGAGTCAACGAATTCTTTTCCTTGTTCCACAGTTTTAGAGATTAGTCTTCTTTCTTTCCTGTTTTTTAATTGCCAAGCCAAATACTTCCCCGGCTTATTTGCCCCTTCAAAAGATTTCTGTTGAAGTTTTTTCAAATTCCAATACAATTCTTGGTTCAAAATTACGTTCAATTGTTCTCTCAGTAATTGTAATTCTCTAATAATTGTCTTTTTCCCGGGTCTCTTCTTGAGTTTCGCCTCTTTTTGCGTTATTTTCTCCAACACTTCCTTCTGTTTTTAAAAATTCTCTTTCTTTTGCCTCGCATTTTGCGAGATGAGGATTCCTCTCATCACTGCTTTGTATGCGTCCCACACCACCTGTATAGGAGTTTCCTGATTTAAGTTTTGTTGAAAGAAAAGTTTTGTTTCTTCCTTCAAGAAATCTACAATAAATTTCTTGTCCAACAAATCTTCATTTATTCTCCAAAGAAATTGCTTGTTCTTTTCCTTTGAACTCCACAACAGTGGGTTATGGTCCGAAAAACTTTTGGGCAAAATCTCAATTTTATGCATTTTAATTGATAGCTCCTCAGACATCCAAATCATGTCTATCCTGGAAAAGGAACAATGTCTGTTAGAATAGAAGGTGAAATCCTTTTTAGTAGGATTCCACCATCTCCACACATCTTCCAATTTTTCTTGCTTTACTAATTTGAAAAAGTTCTTTGGCAATTTTCCACTATTTTCGTTGCCCTTTTGGGGTTGTCTATCCAAAATATCAATTGTTCCATTAAAGTCTCCGGCAAGTATTACTTGCTCATATACTTGCCGTTGAAGTTGCTCTGTCAAATCGTTGAAAAATTTTTCTTTTGCTCCGTTGGGTGCATAAATATTCACTACCAATGTCTTTTTCTGTTGCATCATCACTTCTACACCCACATATCCTCCCTCTAAGTCTTTAAAAATTTCTTTTGGTTGTAGTTCTGTTTTTACATAGATCACAACTCCTTTCTTTTTATTCACCGCCAGAGAGTAAAATTCTTCTCCAAGTCTTTTATTTATTAAATATTTTGCATCTTGTCTTTTAATATGAGTTTCTTGCAAACATATCACGTTACATTTTTGTTTTTGTAGCCAATGGTTAACTCTTTTCCTCTTATTAGGAGAATTCAGTCCATTTACATTCAATGATAACAGCTTATAATCCATTGCACAATTTTATATTTCTTCAAAGTCGTCTGAATTGTCCGACTTAAATTTATAAAGATCTTCCACTGACTTAATCACTATTCTTCCTCCTTTGTAGTTGAAAGATAGACCTTGCGGTATTTCCCACCTAAATCTGATATTCATGGTCTTCAGTTTGTCTGCCAATGGTTTGTATCTTCTTCTATCTTGTAAAATTGTTCTTAGGAGTTCTCTCATTATCATTATTTTGTTGCCCTCAATCTCAAATGGTACGGTGAATTGCTTCTTAAAAATGTCTTCTGTCGTTGTTCTTGTCAAAAATTGTACAATGACATCTCTGGGTAAATTCTTCTTTTCCGCTATTCTGGAGTTCACTCTGTAGATTAAATCAAACTCCTGATCCATATCTCCCTCATCCTCTTCTAAGTAAACTGTTATTGCTTTCTTCATTACATCTCTGATGTTTTCGTCTTCTTTTTCTGCAATCCCTTTGAATCTTAGATGAGTTTGCATTCGTCTGAACTCCATCATTACTTCTGATCTCCTAAATTGCTGTGTCAGTAAATCATGCTTCTTTTCCGTCTCTTGTATCTTCTCTTCCATCTCTGTTGATTTGGTTGCAGTAACTTGCATTTCCTTCTTGACTTCTTCTACTTCTGTCTTCATCTGAGTTACTTCTGTTGTCACCAAGTCTTTTAGTGCGGCTATATTCTTCTCCTGGGCTTCTTCCAGATGTTTCAGGTGCATTTGCGTTTGTTTTTCTATTTGCTTCTCAAGTTGCTTTTCTATCTGAGTTCCCATCAATTGAATTGCCTCAGTCATTCTTTTTTCCATTGCCTCCATTGCGGCTTGCCACTCCTTCTTTTCCTTACTTGCCATCTTTGGTGTTGTGGTTGAAGCTGTCCTTGGTCTTAGTGCTGAGGCTTCAGATGCTGCTGAGCCAGTTCTTGTCCTTCTCATCTCCGTTTTGTCGTTTTACACTACAATCCTCAAAAGTGAAATCCAACAGTCTTGTTCGAAACTTTATAAGTGCCTAAACGTGTCCCCTTACTTTCGCCTTCCTCTGTCACTTATAAAGTTAATAAAAAAGCAATTCAAAGTTGAGTCCTCCTCAAAATGTCGGGCACAAAGTCTCTATGGTTTTCTGGGTAGAGTAGGTCTGTTTCCGCAGTTCCGGGTCCCGTCTATGCGCATCCACGCACATCCGGTTCCTCACCTTAATATCTCTGATCACCTTCCGGTCTCCAGAGTCTCGTCTAGACTTCACCCTCTCTGGTTGGTCTCCGTCGGAAGGTTTTCTCTCTTACACCGACCCTTTTCTTCCCGCGATACCTCTCGTCAGTTTCGTTTTCGACTATGCGCTCATCTCAAACTAGCCACAGGAATGTTCACCAATATTGTTTTTCCGCTTTTAAAAGTCTAAAAACAACTCAGATTTTTTCCGGAATTAATCACTGGAATAATTAGCTTGCTACCCGCTCAACCGCTCGTTCAGATTTAAATCACAGTACAGTCTCGGTAAGCGGAATGTCTTTGTTATCTAGCTTGCTTATCTTGGGTTGTGCATTGCTTCTTTTCAATCACTCATGTTTCCCCTTGTTAAAGAAATCGGCTGACGACGGATTTATGCTGGTATCCCAACTCGATCGGCTCTTGGAGTGCTGCTTGGCATTCACCCTCTTCGGGGGAGGAGATCAAAGCCTGATAAAAGCTTCTTCCGAAGCTCAATCAAGCCAATCTCAACTCCCGCTTGGGTACTGCTGCCTGCTGGACGCCCCCCCTCTCTGGGAGGCATTGCGTTGGGCTGGAAACAGCCCAAACTGTCAAAAGAAGCCGTCGACCACCCCGCAGAATCGCGGGAGTGCTTTAATTCGCCATCTTAGCACGACTGGAAGCCGTAACTCTGGGCAAGCCGTAGTTCTGATAAGAGCTGTTCTTGAAAAAGAGCAGTTTCTGTCAGAGCTCTCTCGACCCCACCTCCCTTACAGGGTGTCTGTTGTGGGGAGGGGAAGGGAAAGGAGGTTGTAAGCCGCTCTGAAACACTTTTGGGTAGTGAAGGGCGGGGTATAAATCCAATCTCTTCTCTTCTCCTCTTCTTCTCTTCTATTTGGCCCTAGCAGCATTTTTAAATCGGCCATGTTGAACTTTAAAATAATGGTGGCATCCACATGCCGGACATGGGATTTAGCTTAGCCTTTAACAGCCCATGAAAAGCTCTGGGGAAACTTGGGTAATGAGAGAAACTAACAACTCCCTTACTCTGAGCCTCCCACCCCACCGAAAGCTTCAATACAATAAAATTATGGTTTGTGAACAGATTTATTGTAGTGTTTGAATTCATACTTTGGTTTCTTTAGGCAGAAAGGTACATTAAAATGTTATAGCAGTGTTATTTCCTTATACCTAGGTGGAGAACTCATTTTTTTGTCAGAGGATCAGAAGAAATATTATAATGCACTGAAAAAACTTGGTAACAAGAAACTACAGAAGCCTATTCCACGACCACACGTAAGACCATCACAAATAAAATAGCATTTACTTTTACTATTGTTAGAGTTAGCTGTTAATTGAGACTTTCAAAAGCCAAATTATTTCATGTGAAATAGATTTGCCCTTGGAAATTCAAAATTGTTTATTCTAATAGGATTACTGTTTGTAAGATTATGTGGAATCTATGTATATGGCCGGGTTAGTGCAGAAGAAAAGGAGTCTTTAAACATATGCTTATTTGATTTGGAGCTGAGAAGGGCTTTTACTGCCCTAAGGTTCCACGACATACCCTCAATGGTTTGTATTGGCCGCTTTCGGGGTGTCCCTGCCGCCTCCAGAATATGCCTCTGTGGTATGAGTGAAGTGGATGATGTCGAGCATTACATTCTGAGATGTTCATGGCACGAATCACTTAGGCAAAGGTTTATTTATCCTATTGTACCTCTGTATAATGGAATTTCAGAGCAGGATTTGACCGTTTTCTTGCTCTCTGATATTGATGCACATGTTACTAGCAGAATGGCTTTGTTTGCACTGGCGGCAAAAAAGATAAGACTGGGTCTAGGACTTACTGTAAGTTACTGATGTATACTGTTGGTTGTGCTTTGATTTATTTTGTGTTGTTATGGCCAGTGGCTAAAACAATAAACTAAACTTCAGATGGTAATTTGATTTGGCTTGTTTTCACAAGAACCATTACAAATCAAAGGAATGACATTTGTGTAGTCCTATTTGACATCAATAAACATTAGTTGTGACTGTCCTAGAATGAGTGCTCATGACACTGATTCATAGAGTTTCTTAAAAGAAGGGAATACATAGAGAGGTGTCAAAATCTGAATGCTCCCTGTTTACATGGAGAACATTATGGGTAATCATAAATACACATTGACTCTGAACTTTGTGATGTTATTTCCTAAACACCAGTATTAGGTATACTAGTCAGTATCCTACTACTCGTTTGCGGAAGATGCATGGAGTTGTCCCACCCTCCTCTGCAGCTTTCTCTAGGCCCTGGAAGATCATTCCTGGGGATCAGAGGTTCTGTACAGAAGATCAGCTGTGAGGGTTGGTGGGCTGGAATGAGGAGGGACAAAGGGAGGAAATCCCCCCACACACACCTGTGGAGCTGCACTTGCGGAAGAGGAAGGAGGAGCTATTTCAGCTCCTCATCTTTCATCATTCTGATACCTCCCAACCCTTGTGGCCATTCCTAAGTGCAGGTCCTGTGACCCTGGGATTGATCTTTCTGTTGGAAGTACCAGATGCGATGTCCCTGTGTCTCAGGCCGATTCTGCACCCATCTGTTTCCTCGCAGTTTTTCCACAGCCATGGTGGGAAATTAATCTTCCTCTATACTGCATGCTGCTTTTACTTTCTTTGTTCATCGGGTTTTATGGTACTTTCTGCATAGATTTATGGCCATTCAGGGGGGACCGCAGTCAGTATGGGCATTGCTCTGGGGTATCTGAATGTGGTTTTGAGGGGCACTTTTTCCTTCCTCTGCTTCCGATTCAAAGGGAACAATAAGCAGACAACTGAAGACTCTGGGGCAAGTGATGCTCTGTCATCTTGGTGCTTGGGGGGTCAACAGTGGGAGGGCTTCTAATGTCCTGGCCCCACTGGTGGACCTCCTGATGGTACTGGTATTTCTGGCCACTGTGTGATACAGAGTGTTGGACTGGATGGGCCTTTGGCCTGATCCAACATTGGAATCTCTTATGTTCTTATGACATGACTTCATTGACTCCATCAGTTCCCCTGCCCCTATTTCCCCCTCTGTATTTATCACCTCACCATGAATTACTTGGCTCAGGGGGCTAATGACCACTGAGGCAAGTACTGACACAGGAAAATCTTCACACCAATGCAAATTCGAGCAAGCATTGAAACAAAATAGATGGCAAGCTGACACTAACCAGTGCAGAAACCAGGATCCAAGGCAATGCAATGAAAAGAGATACTCCGAGGCAAGGGGAAAGCAGGTCGAGTGCTGATAAAAATGTGGAGTGAATGCCAGATGTAGAATGGACCTCAGCCTCCAGAAGCAAGTGACCACAGAGTTGCAGGCAGATAGGCAAACACTAAGCATCTTCCCATTTACTGTCACTGAGAATCCCTTTGAAGTGTAGATCAGCACTCTTTAGGGAAAGGCAACTTCTTTCCATCTCCTCTCTTTTCTTCTCTCTTCCATGCATCTCCTAGTTAGACAGCATAGGAACTGTCTCTATAGCTCGACCTCGAACTATCGAGCATATATTTCTAGAATAAAGTAGTTTATTTTGTTTCAAACTGAAACGTGGCTCTGTGTAACTTTGTAGTCCTGCAAGCGCATGCTAGATTCCAGACAAGAACTGCTGCGTTAAAGCCAAGTGCATTCTTCTAACTAAAGAAGGATCTGGACCACCAAAACCAGTACCCTTCCTAAACTTTCCAGGGATCAGAAAGGATTGTTTTCTGAAGACAAAAGAGAGGTGGGGAGAATGATGATGTAAGCTGCTTTGGGTACCCATGAGGAAGAAAGGTAAAGGTTCCCTTGCTCAAAAGCCAGTCGAATCCGGCTCTAGGTTTGCGGTTCTCATCTCCGTTTCAAAGCCAAAGAGCCAGCGCTGTCTGAAGACGTTTCCGTGGTCATGTGGCCGGCATGACTAAACACCAAGGCGCACGGAACGCTGTTACCTTCCCACTGAAGAAAAGCCAGATATAAATAAATGACACATATATTGTATGTTTATAATACAAAACATTAATACGATGACAAGATAAATAGAATAAGAAAGAAGGATAAGTACTGAAGAACAAGCGGGGACCTGTGACAGACTCACAGGAAAATGTCTCCACTGGTCACTTCTTAGTTCCCTGGCCTCTGACACACACACCCCAGTCATTCCCTCTACCCTTTCTGCTCACTGCCACCTGGCTGCTCTGCCTACCTACCCCCCTACCCTTGGAACTCCGCTCAACCCCCTACCCTAACTGCTCTGCCTACCTACCCTCCACCCTCTCTGTTCTGCCTACCTACCCCAAACCATTGATACTCCACTCCCCCCTGCACCCTTGCTGCTTTGCCTATCTACGCCTACCCTCTGCACTCTCATTGCTCTGCCTTCCTATCTATCACCCTTTTTGCTCTGCTTACCTAACCCCCCTTGGCACACACCCCCGAGCTTGGTGCTCTCCCTACCTACCCACCCTACTCCCTGCCTAGTAGCCTGATGAGAATCAAAGGGAAGGCCGATAGGGATCCTCCCCCCCCAACTTTATCCCTCCTCCCGCCATCACAGGCACAGAGCCCGGCACAGCTCCCAGTCTCCACTGCCAAGCCCACGGAGGATTCCTCTCCCCCCATGGCTGCAAGACAGCCCAACACAGCTCCCAGCCTCTGGCGCAGCACTGAAGATGGGTGAGTGGGAGCGAAGCATCCTCTTTGCCCCCACCTGCCTCTAGTGCTGATCCCCGCAGTCTCCAGGTTAGAAGCTGGTGGGGAAATTTTAAAAGGGCAGTTGAGCCATTGGCAATGGAGGTGTGCAGGTAGGTGAGGAGGCTCCTTCTCACCCCCACCACTGTAGCCGCCAGCTCAGCTGCCCTTTTAAAACCTTCCTGCTGGCTTCTAACCAGCCACACTAGTGGGAGAAGCAGTGCTGGAGCTTGGGGGGGGGGGGGAGGATCCTTCTCATGTAGCTGCGCGTCTTCAGAGCTGCTGTTCTCTGTCCTCTTCCCTTCCCCAACTGCAGCAGCACTGGTTTTGGGGTGTTTTTACCCCCATACCTTTTTATTAGAGATTTAAGATTTTTCTGCAAATTTAGTGGGGGGGGTGTGTGTGTAGAAAAATCTCTTTTCTCTCCATGTGGGCAGATGAACCCACATGGGAGTATTCGAATATATGATACTGTCTCAGTATCTGAGATGGGGTTTATTCTGGCACCAAGCTATGTCAGTTTCACACAAAAAAAGCCACTCTTAAGGTTAACACTCATCTTCTTACTTATGTGGATCTCAAGCAGAGAGCAAACAAGGTAATTTAGGCCAGGGATGGTTGTGTGATTTAAGACATGGTTTAAGAACACAAACTAGGTCTCTCAAACAGATAGGCCAAACCATGTTAACCAAATACCTGCAGGGATATTGCCTCACAACTGTGAATATGGGGAATCAAGCCCAAACCATCTATTTGTCTCCTTAAAGGAGAATTACCTCTGTGCAGGCATACATCCCTTCCTCCTGCCCTGCTGTGAACTCTCTAGAACTTTAGTTTTCTAGGGGTCTCCAACTGCGACATGGAGAGGACTGAGGGAGTAGCGCCCCTCCTTCTTGTCATGTGAGCGTTTTGCCAGGAAAGCGCCAGAAGGCGAAGGGGCACTCCTAGTCTGTTAGAAAGCTTGGGAATCTTTTCCTTGGCTGGCCTGCGACTGTGCAGTCCCCATGTGTGCCTGCACAGAAGACCACTCGATGAACAATGGTTACAGGTAAGTGCAACCTAATTTATTTTTTTTAGCAAAAGTCTCTCTCAGTCATTCATGGTAATCCCAGATGCCTCAGGGAAAAACAATTAGAGATGAGACAACTTGATTGTTACTTTTGCATTTCTTTGGAATCTCTCAATAATGCTAATGCTTGTTTTGTTCATTTGCTCATTACAGAACAAGTACCAAGGATTTCTTTTTGACTTCATAAGCAAGAAAGCATTTGAAATTTTCATTTTAAGTATCATTCTGTTAAATGTGGTGGTCATGGCAGTGGAACATGAAGGCGAAAGCGAGGAAACTAAGAGTCTTCTTTCAAATTTAAATAGAGTCTTTGTTAGCATCTTTACTGGAGAGTGTCTAATGAAAATATTTGCTTTGCGGCATTACTACTTCAGAGGTGGCTGGAACATTTTTGATTTTGTCGTTGTGATTCTTTCAATAACTAGTAAGTTTAAAAAACCATTGCCTAGTTATTGTTTCATCTAAAACTAATACTGTATTTTTCTAGTTAAGGCATCAAAAAAGGGGGTCATCTTTTTGGAATAAATTTTTAGGGGGGTTGTTCATTTCTTACATTCAGGATCATCTTCCTTTTGAGTAAGTACAGTGACAATGAAGGGATGCCGCTGCCAATAGAATACCAGGCAATGTTGGCAGTTTCAAAGTAATGTTTTTCAGGTGATTATCTCTAGGATACATGTTTAAGAGAGTACATGTGTATTTCATTGATTTGTAAAAATTTATTTACTTATTTATCTGATTAAATTTTTAGGCCGTCTTTCTCTCCAAGCAAAGCTCCAGGCAGCTTACAACAAAAAAGAACATACAATAAATAACTAAAAAAATTAAATCGTACAATAAAATATACAGTAAAAGGTAAAGGTAAAGGTTTCCCTTGCTCGAAAGCCAGTCGAATCCGACTCTAGGGTTGCGGTGCTCATCTCCGTTTCCAAGCCAAAGAGCCAGCGCTGTCCGAAAATGTTTCCATGGTCATGTGGCCGGCATGACTGGACACCGAGGCGCATGGAACGCTGTTACCATTCCCCACGAAGCGGTACCTATTTATCTACTTGCAATTTTTTGCTTTCGAACTGCTAGGTTGGCAGGAGCTGGGGCCAGAGACGGGAGCTCACTCCATCATGCAGCACTCAGGTCTCAAACTGCCGAACTACCGACCTGCAGTTCAGCGTCTTAACCACTGAGCCACCACGGCCAAAATATACAGTACATATCAACAAAATTCAAGTCATTCCAAGATGGCAAAATTTCATATTTCACAGGCCTTCTAGGGTGGGGGCTTGCGGAGAATGGAGGGTGTGAGAGTGCCAGACTACATGCTGTACTGTCACTGTCCTCAGCCGAATGCCTGGCGGAACATCTCTGCCTTACATGCCCTTTGGAAAGGTAACAAATCCCACAGGGCACAGATGTCCTCCGGCAGAGAGTTCCACCAGGTAGGGGCCAGGGCCAAAAAAGCCCTGGCCCTGGTTGAGGAAATAAGGAGGCATCCAGAGTCATTTGGAATACTGTGTGCAGTTCTGGTCACCACACCTTAAAAAGGATATTACAGCTTTGGAAAAAGTGCAGAAAAGGGCAACTCGAATGATAAAAGGGTTGGAACACTTTCCCTATGAAGAAAGGTTAAAGCACTTGGGGCTCTTTAGCTTGGAGAAACGACGACTGGGGTGACATGATCGAGGTTTATAAGATTATGCATGGGATAGAGCAGGTACGGAAAGAGGTATTTTTCTCCCTTTCTCACAATACAAGAACTTGTGGGCACTCCATGAAATTGCTGAGCAAGTGATGAGGTGCCACAGTAACCAGATTGGATGAGAGTTAAATTCTGTTGGAATAGATGAATAGACAGCTATGTCCATGGCATGCCATGCCCAGTTCTTTAGATGTGATCAAATTAACACGTCAGTCTGCAGTACCTTCAAGTATTTTCTTAAAATTGAACAATGTGAGGAAGTGTGTGCTATATTTAAATTTTAAATTCTTTACAACTATTTTTTCAACTATTATTACAATGATAATAGTTTTCACTGAATTTAAATGGCAATTATCTTTTTTACACATAACCTAATATTTCAGTTCCATTTTTTTGTTATTGAGATATAAAATTTACTTGGAGTACTTCTTAAATTTGTTTACTGAATATAGGCTGAATAAGCATGCTAAATCAGACTGTGCCTAATTTAAGGCACTGGATAGTTTCTGGGGGGAAATTGATTGCAGTCCCCCCCCCCCCCGGAAAACTGAAATGACTGCTTGAGAGGAAAATGCCCATAGCCAGCTTGGAACAGGCCCAAGTAGAAAAAAAATTAAAAACCATATACCAGAAATCAGGACTTTCTGCATTGGACTGGATCCCACACAGTTCCTATCAGGCAGAGTTGTTTTTTTACTTGGCAGGGGCGGGAAGAGGAGTGAAGCCATGCCCCTGTTCCTCCTTCAGCTGACTGGATGATTCATCTTTCCCCTCACCTTTACACAACTGAAGATCAGAAGGGATTCTCAAGCCTGCATGTTTCCCTCCCACTTTTGCTCCCTACCCTTCATGGCACACAGAAGGCAAACTCAGAGATTCTGTACTTTTGTGACTGTAGGATCTTCCCTGAATGTAGATGCTGAAAATCACCTTCAGCATCTAGGGCAAGGTATGCTGTCTTTTCAAATCAACACAAGACTGGAGATTAGGGTGAGGGGTCCAGTGAGGGGGATTTGGGTAGAAGCATGGGAGCCAGAAACTCACAATCTCACTGTGCGTGGAAATGAGGAAGAAGCACTGTCCAAGCAGCTCAGTAAAGAACACTGAAGCCACTGGCATTTTAAAATCTGGGTTATATCTGGTGTTTGAATAATATTTATTTATGTAGAACCTTATATCCTTGTTTTCTTCTCTTGGGGACCAAAATCAGTCTACCACATCGCTCTCCCATTCTCTATTTTATTCTCCCAACAAACCTTTCATGCTAGAGTGAGGATTAGAACCTGGGTCTCCCAGATCATGACCCGGAGGCAGGCAATGGCAAACCATTGCCTGGAAAACCCTACAGGGTTGCCATAAGTCAGCTGTGACTTGAGGGCACTTTCCACCACCACTCCCAGATCTTAGTGCAGCACTCTAACCACTACACAGTGCTGTCTCACACCAGCATAGCTGTCAACAGCTGGACCAAGAGCAAAACGTATATTCTTTGACAGCATCCCTGCCATTCAAGATTATGGGTCAGATGTCACACACACTACACTCTTCTTGGGAGAAGAAGAAAAAAGAATGCAGCCACAAAGGACATGGATGATAGCAGCCTGGATCTGGCCTGCTAATGCATGTGCATTCATCTCACAACTTTTTTTTTTTTTTTAAAGCTTAACAAGGAGGTGTGGGTTTCCATTCACTAACCCACCGCATGCCTGGGCAGCATAATTAGAATGCTAATTCCAAAGTGAAAGTCAGTATTTGCATTTTGGCAGAGACATGTTCAAATAGAAATGATTTTAGCAGATTCCAAGTACAGAATTAAATGTTTAATATTCTAGCCTAAACTGGAAATTCGATTCCATTGCGAGTGGATTTTTCAAAAGACATGTTTTCCTTTTGAACAGGTTTGGCAGCCTCAACACTGGAAGGCCTATTCCCTCCTACTCTACTGAGGGTCATTCGGTTGGTCCGGATCACCAGGCTGCTGAGACTTGTGAGGGGGGCCAGAGGACTCCAAACCCTTCTTTTTGCATTACTGATGTCCCTTCCTGCTCTTGCCAACATTGGGCTCCTCCTTTTCCTGGTCATGTTTATTTATGCTATTTTTGGTATGACTAACTTTGCCTGTGCGCCTTGGAAATACGGGATCGATGACACTTTCAACTTCCAAACTTTTGGCAGCAGCATGCTTTGCCTCTTCCAAATAACCACGTCCGCTGGCTGGGACGGCCTTCTCCGCCCAATGCTCGAGAGCAATAACGGCAATTGTGCTCCCAATTTACCCCTCTCACCGCAAAATGTCACCTGTGTAAACTCAGCTGTAGCAACCACTTATTTTATAAGCTACATAATTATATCATTCCTCATTGTAGTCAACATGTACGTTGCTGTCATCATAGAGAATTTTAACGTGGCCACTGAAGAAAGCACAGAGCCTCTAAACGATTATGATTTTGACGTTTTTTATGAGACCTGGGCAAGATTTGATCCTCAGGCAACTCAATTCATTACATACTCAGCACTTTCAGATTTCGCCAATTCCCTGGAGGAACCTTTACGCATCCCCAAACCCAACAAAGAACAGCTGCTCAATATGGACCTTCCTATGGTGAATGGAAATAAAATCCACTGCTTGGATGTTTTGCTCGCTTTTACCAAAAGGGTGTTGGGGCAGTCTGGGGAGATGGACCCTCTTGAATCCCAGATAGAGTCGAAGTACATGAAAGCTAATCCACAGAAGATCTCCTATGAACCCATCATAACGACTCCCAGGCGGAAGGTGGAGGAATGCGCCATCATTATCCAGAGGGCTTTCCGGGTGCAGAGTGCGCTACAGAAAGCCAGGGATGAGTCCTCTGTGAGCATCCCATTGGCAGACATTATCGAGGAGGAAGATGCCTGTGTGCTCAGGCTGAATGAAAGCGAAGGCAGTCTGTTGGATAAATGCCAGAGTCCATCTTCTATATCTATTCCTCCATCTTACAGTAATGTCACA